AAATCTTATTGATCAACCAATGTCGAACATATAGCATGGCTAGAGATGGAGGGGGGGGGAGAACGCCTCGGACTATTCTCCCATTAACGATTAAATTGTTTCTGTGCAAGCACTGGATCATAATCCTCGTAAAAAGCAATGGTCAACACCCTACTGATCTGTGTACCGGTAGCAATTTGTTGTAATTGTATTCTCCAAAGGGCTAATAGCAAAACGAATAATAATCAAAGACATAAACTTTATGATGTATGTGGTGTTTCTAGTTTGTTAATAAACCCCTGTATAGGTGATTACCCCTGTATATTATACCTACCAGATATTGTACCGTTTAGATACAGATGTAGCGTGGCATCCGTGCAGTTTAGGCTTAATGGACGTTCATAAGCTATACGAAGTTTTGTATTAGTATCATTGATATTGGTTTTAATGGTCACAGTGCAATCGGTAGATTGGTTTCTGTTGATCAGTCGGATTCCATTATCAACACTCAAATCTTGGCCACAAAAAGCATACATGTATCCTGGAATATAGAAATACAAGGAGATGAAATGGAGGTTTAACTTCAGCCTTTCCTGCTATATCCGATCTACACGATATCAATATCAATATCCGAGCTACATAATATCAATATGAAGACACGCGCAATGTGCTATATCCCAGCTACACGATATCAATATCAATATCCTAGCTACATGATATTAATATGAAGACACGCGCAATGTGCTATATCCCAGCTACATCCTATTAATATGAGGGCACGCAATGTGCTACATGTATATCCGAGATACATGATAACAATATGAGGACACGCAATGTGCTATATCCCAGTTACATGTTATAAATATGAGGACGCGCAATGTGCTATATCCGAGCTACATGATATTAATATGAGGAAACGCAATGTGTTATATCCCAGCTACATCCTGTATTAATATGAGGAAAAGCAATGTGCTATATCCATGCTACATGATATCAATATGAGGATACGCAATGTGCTATATCCGAGCTACATGATATTAATAGGAGAACGCGCAATGTGCTATATCCCAGCTACAGGTCCCGAATGTATTTATAGGGTATTTTATTCCTATAAAATTATGGCAAATTTGGTATAATATATGGAAAGTATAGACACCCAATCTTACTAGAAAAATACCCGAAAGTATTTATCGGGTGGTTATTTCCAATAAAAGTATGGCATATTTAGTATATATGGAAAGTATAGAAACCCAATACTGCATTACCCGAAAAACACCCATGGGCAAGAAATGGGCAAAACAGTCACGTTATCACTATCTGGGAACGCGACTTTTGTCTGCCAGCTTATTTTGTGGTAGCTTGATCGAGAGGGCGGTTGTTATTTCTTGATCAAATTTTAGGCGGTTTTGGGAACAATGGGAAGTGTCAGCGTACCAAAAAACCCTGCAATTAAACGGCTGTAAAAGAAGTTGACAGCAAATAATTAAGAATTTACATATGCTTCAATATGTATGATAAATGGACAGAAAGTAATGAAAAATAAATTCTGAAAAATGGACCCTCCCACAATGGATTGAGGTGACAGTCATGGCGTCTAGCAACAGTTTATTTATAGCTTGTGGTATCTCTTCGCAAAAACAAAGTTTTGAGAGGGGTTTAAAGCAAATTTATAAGGCCCGTAACTAAAGGGGGGGGGGCGCAATGGGTATACATTGTCCCTCAATTTTACAGCACCACTGAGAACATTGCCCCCCCCCCCCCTCGTTGCTCTGAGCTAGTTACGGCCCCGAAATTTATAGATTAATTAGTTTGAATATGTGTTAAGTCCAACTATATCATCAAATCACACAGTTAGTACGCGGGGGAAGTATCTTTAATATAAGCACGCGCTGTGCTGTGACGGCAATTTAATCTGGTTTAATCTCATATCGAATTCCAAGTGTCAACGGCTGTTATTTTACAGGCTCCTGTGGGGAAAGTGTCTAGCCGTTCGGATAGAACAAACAAATGAAATTTGAGTAAAATCCAATAGTATTTAACAGTTGTTGATGAACTACTGACCTATAATCACGTCCTTTAATATTGACTTTATGATTAAATGGATATATTGTTACACTATTAAAATAAGATACGGTTGAAATAAATTACAATGTTGTCATGGAAAAGTTGATTATCATTTAGGCTCGGTGATACTATATTTTATTGTTTAATAAATTACAATGTTTCATGGAAAAGTTGATTATTCTTTAAGCTCGGTGATACTATATTTTTTGTTTAATAAATTAAAATGCTGTGCTAACTCAGTGGAACTATATTCTAATATTTAATAAATTGAAAATTTTGAAATGTTAAAATGGATATGCTGTGTCATTAATTATGAATGGAATTGATCATAATATTAATTCGTATATGTACATTATAATGTAGTCATTTTTGCTGCTATCATGTGACACAAGCTGCATTAAATTTAAGCCCAAATAAACATAATAATTCCATATTTTTAATAAATAAATGAAATGGGGTTTAACGTCCTGTTTTTCTGTATAAACCGGGCTAATGAAAATGGACATACGTCAAGCAGTGTGATATGAGGAGAATTCTCCCCGTGCAGCAGCATCTGTCTAGTTTACTTTTAAGTCTACGCGAACATGTAAACATGACCTCTGAATCACTGACAAAAATAGTGTTTCCGCCATCCTGCACCATTGACAAAAACACAGCGCAAAGTTAGCGATCCAGCCTCTTTCGCATTGAGCCACTGCGGCGCAGTAGTTCTACAGTACGCTATGACCTGGACTCTGTAAATCCAAATCTGGTTAAAGATAATAACCAAATCACCTTCCGTGTAAGAACTGTGATTAGAAATCTAATCGTGCATTATTCACTCTGTTATAGTGGTGTTTTATATGTCTCACATATATCACAGTTATAAGATCAAATGGACTTGACCTCACGTGTTACGGTGGTCTCTATTATCCAGATTCTTGGGGGGGGGGGGAATAAAATGAAATGAAATTGGGTTTAATGTCCAACTGTTCCGCCTCTGAACTGGGCTAATGAAAAAAGGCTTAAGCCATACATTGTGTTATGAAGACAATTTTGCCCGGACAGTGGCACTACGGCCTGCTCTTATATCGAATTCCAACTGTCAAGGGATCTATAACGTGCACACCAATGTGTACAAGGGGTCTTGGTTTTTCGTCCCCTCCGAACGACAAGACAGCTGTCCTTGTCGGGCCCCCGTCCTGCATCACTGACAAGGCAGAACCACGCCGGAAAATTTGGATGAACTTTCTCGGACAATGCAGGAATCGAATGGGGGGGGGGGCATACATTATGTGATATACAATATTATAATGTGTGTGTGTGTGGGGGGGGGGATTATGCCGTTGCTATGTCACCTGGACTAATCACATTGATATGTTAACCCAATAACTGATAATGATCTTGATCCAGGTGTTAAATAAACTTACGAACATCAAGTAGAGCCAGGGTATTTGTAACAAACAATATTATTAGAACATGAGTTAGTATATATCCCGCCATGTTGATCAATCTCACTGTCATCACATCATATTATATAGACTAGATATTGTGAAATACCTGTCGAGATAAGAATGTCACGTGGTTGAGATTGATACTGGCCTACATCGTTATCTCTTTCGTTAAAGGGGAGTTGGATGGCCGAATGGTTAGCACGTGCGCGCTGTATCATAAGGCCTGTCATTGAGTCAACTGGCGTGGTTTCGAATCTCAGGTTGTACGTGACAAGGAGTAGGGTCGCCTGTCAAACCTCGTGGGTTTTCTCCGGGTCCTCCGGTTTCCTCCCATTGTTAAAGACCCCTATGCGCAAGCGAATTATTGAAATAAAATTAAACCATATGTTGGTCCCGAAATGTCCTAGTTTGTGTTGAGTGGACGTTAAACCCCATCTCTCTCTCTTTCTATCTCTCTCTGTCTCTCGTTAAAGTTTAATGAAATGCTCAATTATCACTTAAAGATACATTAAGAGCTAAAACTGTCTATGACAGGTCTTTCTTATCTAAATGTTATCTAAATTATTAACTAGACATTAATTAACATATCCAGACCATAATCAACTCTCGATGTCATCGCTAGCCTGCGATATGAATACATTTTGTGATGGATCATTTAACGTCAAAATGGATAATCGAGACTTTGTGTTTATCGTGCCGACTTTAGTAATGATGATCGATGCTATGCTTCAAATTCAATGGTTAATATCTGGGTTCAGAGTGGAGTAATTATCTAATTTCTCATAATGTCCCTTTAAAGGTACACTACTGGATTTAAGTGACGCTTACACGATAAACATATCAATACAACCGGTTGTATAGATGGGAACAGTTTTATTGTCATCCGACTGACTGATGCAGCAGTCAATCAAACTCCGTTATATTACACGACGTATGTGTCGGTGTATGACGTTATATGCGAGATGGCAAACAGAATTCCTGCAAATTTCTCTTCATTTTATTTAGTTACTAAGAACGAGAAAATGACACAGGTTAAAATAAGTAACAATTATATCATAAAAATAGATAATATTTAGTAATATATGTGATCAATCTACAAACAGTTTTTTTTTTCAAATGTTTTAAACGAAAATCACAATGCATTTCATACAAATCTTTATTCATTCGTTGCTAATACTGTTTATCATTGTATATCCTGTGTTTATTTTTAAGATAAAACAGAGTTTTGGGACGACTGCTGGGCCAAGTACGTCCCCTTAAGAAACCTCGATCTTCTTCAATTGGAAGAAATAGAATAAGTGTATATATTATATTGGCTCTATCATTCAGACAAAGATTCTACCTGGCTGACCGAGACTATGGTGTATGATTAAGGCTAGTCCACTGTGTGCCTATAACGATTGGAACCAGCGGGATGTTGAGCAAAACGCTACAGCCTATGATGTTACAGCAAATAATTACTAGTCTGAGACCAAAGACTTGGACTTTACGTTCACCACAGATTTATCTCCCTTGCATATAGAACGAAACTATAAACAAGGAAGAAATTTATTGAACGAAGTTAACGTTAAAACAGAGGAAGAAAAATTTCACCAGACGACTCACTTTAGATAAAAAACAAAGTGAGTTTCTAGGATAAAGGGCTGTAAAGGGTGAGTTCTTAGAAAAAAGGGCTGTAAAAGGTGGGTTCCTAGGATAAAGGGTGGCAAAAGAGAGGACCACACGGTGTGTAATATTGTAATTTTAAGCCTTAGCTGAGACCAGTAGGAATTTCGCTCATCTATTTTAATAGAGCTATTCTTTCTTTTTCCTATGTCGACCTAATGACCTTTTCTGTAGACTTCTTAGTTTAAATCGAAAGAATGTGTTTGAATTAACATTTTCTGACAGGATTTGGTGAATATTCATGATTTTGCCGTGCCATCATGAATTAACACATGAAGTAGGGGAATCACCTACACGTCACAGTCTGTTGATTCATATTTGACGAATTAAAAAACACAAACAAAACAGTCAAACGCCTTCAATAGTTTTATTAGATGACATGTTGGGCTGTTTACCATTATAAAGAATCAGATCGTTCATCGGACTGTAAAAAGAGAAAGTCATTGGCCGGAAAATTTCATGGAATTGACATCGAAGCCAATGGCAGAAAATAAGTGGTTTAAATCCTGATTTGTAAAAAAGATTTACCTCCCTTGCACGTAAACCGAAACCATCAACAGGGAAGAAATTATTATACAAAGTCGCCAATAAACAGGGTAAAAATATTTCATCAGACATGAAATAAAATAAGTGAGTTTCTTAAATTTCGACAGAGACACGTTATTAGAATATTCCAACCAGTTGACAAACTTTTATGTGAAGTAGTTTTACTTCCTTCCCAATATGTAGCCTATTATTGTCATTTAAATACTTTAAACTTCTAGCTCAATAACATTAATTTTAAATAAAAAGGTGAGTTACTAGGATAAAGGTCTATAAAAGGTGAGTTCCTGGGATAAAGGTCTGTAAAAGGTGAGATCCTAGGATAAAAGGCTATAAAAGGTGAGTTCCTAGAATAAAGGGCTGTAAAAGGAGATCCCTATGGGATAAAGGGCTGTAGAGGGTGACATCCCAGACCAAATGGTGTGTAATATTATAATTGTAAGCCTTAGTTAAGACTTGTACGAATGTCGCCCGTCTGTATAAAGCAATCTTTTCTTTTTCCTCTATACCCCATTCACTAATAAAGCATAGCGACTGTTGTTGACATTTTGCCAGGTTTTTGTGAATATATATATATATGATTTTGAGGCTCAAGGTTTCGGTAAATAAACACGCTTGAAATAGGGAAATCACATAAGAACACGACGTCACAACCTGTTGATTTGTTTGATCAGTCCTAGAATAAAATCGAAATGGTCAACCTCCTTCAATATATTTATCAGATGATTATGGCATGTTGGGTTCTGTCGTTGACTTACTGATATATTCGTATATTTTAACTAACAGAGACATTATTATAGTAGGGAACTGAATATATATTGTAATATAAATATAGGTCTATAATAGTATATCGATATATTTATTAAACATTTTGGACAGGTAAGCTGCACCAAGCTGCATTTTGATTAACTGTGAAACTCCCTTTAAATCGCTTGAAACGTGACAAATGACTCAATATCTATTTATGGTATGGGGAAAACCCAGTTTAATAGCTCTTGTTATCAAGTCATCTATTTGCATATTCATTCATGAATTTAAACATTGCACGTGTAGGGTCTGTGTAATCGAGTCTTGTAGAAAGCAGAATACTATCTCCAGTATAAATATTATATCGTTCATCTTCTGATGTAAAATATCATCTGTAGAAGCCGATATGTAAGTAATTTAAATTACAGTTATTCAAGGTAACGTTATCATTATTATTTAAACACGATAGGAATAAATACATCTTCTTTAGATCTAGTTGAATATATGTATTGTATTAAACTATAACACATACTGTATGGAACAACAGCTACTAATATAAGAGGCATTAAAGATTATTATCGTCCTCAATATGGAGATGTGACAGTATCCTCTTCAATCAATAAGTATGTTTTATATTTGATTGCTCTAACCAGTTACAAAATACCGGGAATTCTCGTATTTAAGCCAAGTTTAAATTCTGAATTTAAGCCCATGGGCTTAGATTAAAAACATTGTTTTAGAGTGGTCTCAATTTTAAATTTTCAAATCACATATGTTGACATTGATGGAGTTACATCGAATTGGTGTACATTATACTTTTCGAATTTAAGCCCTGGGCTTAATTTAAGAAGAAATATTTCATCACTGACATGGACAAATTATCAGAGTATTTTTGTTTTTGATTTTCTTTTCTTTGTTTTTGTAATTGGGGTGGGTGAGGGAGTAAACGGTGTTATTTACGGTTTGTTTATGGGTGAGTATGAAGTTGGCACCAATTGTTGTCATTCAATTCATGTGTACAACACTTAAACTGGACAGATTAAATCATTTTTATTAAATATTGGAGATCACATACAAATTTCTAAAGATTCCTCGCCACTTCGAATTCATAGAAATCTTGTTTTCCTGGCAAAGTTCTGCCATTAGTATTTATTATTTAAAGATACAAAGACAGAATAATATGGAGATCGAGTTTCAATCCGTTTAAATCTTCGCCATCCGATGTTCTAGAGAATGGGTTGATCATAGGCTTGCCATGTGAATGATAGGCTCCACCCCCTTTTCAGATAAATACTAATATATAGCATCCACTCATTTTATTATACAAACCACTGATACAACTAGGAAGTAAATTAAACTGTAACGTCGCCATTAAGTTGTTCAAATAAAAGACTCTACAGAGAGGATTATTATCATATTGAAGCCTGTGTCAATAAAGTAAGTGACATGTAGTTTAAAGTATATTTAATATAAATATTTTATGTTAGTTTTGTAAAAGTTGTAATATAGATATGATATATATTGACTTCTAATAATACATACTTCACGTCATCGATGTGTGAGTGAATATACCATTATTACAAGGGTATATCTCGGATAATAACTTAGAAATATCTGGGACAATTGTAACTTTTCTTTCTTTATAAGACATCTCAAAATATCGGCAGTAGCAGATGAAAACAAAAACAGCAACAAAACAAAATCTGTGTGAAGTAGGCAATAATAATGTTTTATATTTTAAAAGAAAAAAAAAGAATCACCCAGCCAATTATTGTTGAATACAGTAATTATATCATTTATTTTATTGAAATATTAAAGTAGTTGACGATATTTTATTGTCATCTTATCTGATACGTTTTAATTCTGATATAGCAGATAGCTGGGTGTCTCTTTAATATAGACTATAGGTCAGTATAGAGTATGAAATCAATTACATAAATCTCTAGGGTAATTATTATTTGTATATCATTTGTAAATTCTTGGTTACACTGAACTTCTGTCATTATTTGATTATTTGTGCATGATATGTCTCTTTAACTGAATCGTGATCAACCGAGCGTGATGACATTATCTCTGACTTGTATAGCATACGATACTTGTATTATAAAACACACATGTATATACAGTCAAGTAGACGGACATCTAAATATTTACACTATTACATGAATGATCCAACACTAAATAGTTAAAATTGTACATTTAATAAACGAGTGTCCACAACTGGCTGACAGCCACAACAAGATAGGTATCGCTAGAACGAGCCGATCACCTGACTAAAGTTACAGTACAGAACATCAATCTGAACGACAGACTCGCTCTACGTGCAGAGAAGTGACTCTGACACTGTGAATAGCCATGATATCCATATGACGTTATCTTAACGTCACAGGTCATGAGGTCACATCAACAAACAAATGTAAACACCATCATTATGATCATTATCAACATTACAAGACACAATGTTACATTGTAAACAATAGTCTTCTTGCAGCCTTTAGGACTGTATAATCCGTACAGAACGTCTTATCGCTTCTTCCGACGATTTTTCACAAAAATAACATCATCTACAACTCTAGATTTGACGTCGGCATATTGACACTATTTTGTGCTTCGGTCATGTCTATTTCAGATATACACAATCAATTCTGTTAATGTTTTTAGCGTAGGGATTGACTAAAAATTAATTTATTTCAGTTCTAAACAAAAATTTAAAACTTTAACGCAATTTTAAAAAAATAGCCAAATTCTGGCTGGGATTACTGAGCAAAATGGCCATTCACTGTATACGTGCGAAAAAAAAAGCCAGCTACCATTTAATTTTCGTACGTTAGTTACGTACGTGTAGAACATATATACACGCATTATATTAAAATAATTATATAATAATTTGATACCAAATGTTAAATTGCACATAAGAAACAGATGTTTAAATACAGAAAATGTTAAGGACATAGTAAGAACGCGTGTTAACTATGATTTAGTAATATATATCGTTATATATAAGTATAAACTCAAACAGGTAAAAAGACTTGAAAAATTAGTGAGATATCGATTCCGACATTGTCATTTGCTATTTTGACTAAACGTAAATACTATAGACCTGTTCTGGAAACACATTTGAGCGTTTTTACACAACCCAATCACACACATTGATAACTATATTTAGTAGATTAATATGTATTGTTGACCTTGTTTGTTTTTTCAAGAATATTAAGAAAAGATCAGGAGCCATAATCCATGAAGTTACAATCCGATAAGCGCAAATATCGAACCGGACGGGGATCTTAAGTGTATATAAACATATATTTTAAGTTTCATCAAACTACAATAAAAATTGTGACATCTAGAGGGTTCACATTCTTGGTTTTACATGATTTTACACTATTTGCATACAAGGAGCGGTCATTTCGTTGGGCAATTGAAGTCCGATTTTCACGAAATTCGATCTCAATCATCATTAGGGTGTATCGGTGATATATTTGGACGGTTTATAAAATCGGATCAAAAAATGGGACATCTTGGGGTTCCACAAGCTATAAAGGTGATGTTTTCATATAATACTCCGTGTGTGATTATCCAAAGGACTCGAGATGTTTGGGATATGAAAATAGATTAAAAGTTTCATTAAAATTTGACAAAAATTGTTACTGCTGCTATTTGGGTACGAGCAGCAGCCAGTTTGTCGGGCACTTTTGGTCCGATTTTCACGAAATTCAAACTCAGACGTCATTATGTTTATAACAAAGATATATTTGAACGAATTTAAAATTCGATAAAAATTGTTAGCTCTAGAGGGGCCACAAGTTAGAAACGCGATTTTTGTACAATCAGGGGCAAAAAATCCGAAAACTTGTGGCCCGACATTCGCAGATATCGAAGGTAGCTGAGATCTTAGGGTTATAAACATACATATTGAGTTTCATCCAAATCAGAAAATAATTGTAGGTCCGTCCGTCCGTCATCCACAATTTCCTGTGAACGCTCTAACGCCAAATGTTATCATCCGATTACCTACAAAAGAATTAATATGCGACAAACCTTAGCTGTTTTGGGCATATGTTTCGTTGCCTAGCAACCGTAAGTTTTAGTTATTTGGAAACAAATTCCTTTCGGTGAGTACTCATTTTAATTCGGTAGATTATGCACTTTTTCCTAAAAAAAAATCCACAGAATACAAATAATCCGAACAAAAACAATAAAATATATACAAAAATACACTATAACAATCCTGTGGGAATATTTTATTGGTGAACCATGTCGAATTAACGCATCTGGGGTAATGAACGTTCTTCAATAATTTTACATTTATCGGCGCCATATTTTCAGAAAAATCTTGTGGACGTTCTAAAGGCTAAAGTTCGTAAAGGACAGAGGACCTGGCAAGGACAGCTGTCTAGTCGTTTGGATGGGACTAAAAACCGAGGTCCCGTGTACACATTGGCGTGCGCGTAAAAGATCCCCTGACAGTTGGAATTCGATATAAGAGTAGGCCGTAGTGCCGATGCCCGGGCAAAATTTCCCCCATAGCACACTGTATGCCCGTCTTCATTAGCCCAGGTTTGGAGCAGAATAGTAGGACGTTAAACCCCATTTCATTTCATTTCATAAAAATTAATGGGAGAAAATAGCAAGATGTCGGCACGCCTCGACTCGAATCAAACTGTTTTATAATCCAGAGTAATATTGTGTTCTGCAGATTTCGTCAAGGTCGCGAGATAAGGTTAGGATACTGATTGTTGACGAGATTGTATACGAGGGTTAGGGTTAGGGTTAGCGCTAACCCTGTTTACATCTTGTGACCTTGATGAAAGATAGCCTTCTATTTAGACACCGCCTTTCGATTGTTTTCTAAAGGAGAAAACTCTTCTAGATTTGTATCTTGATTATTTGGGGCCACGTTTAACATTTCAAATTAAAAGAAAACCGTTACTTTTTTCCATTAGTATTCTCAAGGTGTTAAGATAGAAAATTAAAATTATCGTATGTTTGTCCCAAAAGTATCGTATGTTTGTTGAGAACGTCATAATGACCAGGCTAGTATGTTGCATAATGATCAGCATAGTTTGTTGAGAACGCCAGAATGACCAGGGTAGTTTATTGACAACGTCAATGATTGACCAGCATAGTTTGTTGAGAACGTCCAAAGTGACCAGGCTTTTTTGTTGAGAATGTCAATGAATGACACATATCATCAAAATTTCTAATTTGTTTCCATGGAAAGTAATTTTAATGTCAGTGATTGTTTGAAATAATAAAAAAAATCGACAATAATGGGGTTTAACGTCCTATCTTTCTACACCAATCGAGCTAATACAGGTGGCAAGGAAAAAACAGGCTGAAAAATCACAAGGAACTCTCTCCGATCGATCCGAGGAAGAAAACAAATTGAATATTCTTTGATCAACATAGAGATGGAGTCCGGGACCTTACCGAGCAGCAAGTAAACGGAGTTGTCACTGTTGGAAGTTTGGACTAGAAATAGGCATCAACTGTGTCTGTACCGTCTAGAGAATTGCCGATCGCTTGACTGACAGACGATAACTCTACCCACATATTCTCGATTATTAAACAAACATTATGCAAGAGCTAAATCTGCCAATTCTAGGTCTTTCTTAAGTCTAAAATGTAATCTAAATTATTAATTAGACATTAATTAACTTATCTAAACCATAATCAACTCTCGATGTCATCGCTAGCCTACGATATTTACTTGATTTGAATACATAATATAGGTTTAAGAAACTGTCCAAAGAGTAAATCTAGAGCTAGATCAATATTTTATTATTGATTATATAATTGATTTATATTATAGATATCTGGTATATTATATTGATTTTATTATTGATTATATTATTGATTATATTATAGATATCTGGTATATTATATTGATTTTATTATTGATTATATTATTGATTATATTATAGATATCTGGTATATTATATTGATTTTATTATTGATTATATTATTGATTATATTATAGATATATGGTATGGTCATATCTTGATAAAATTACCTCAATTAACTGGTTAACAGATATCAAAGAAAATGGCCGGCGTCTCCAGTGTACCAGGTAATTAACCTAGTATTTTAATCTGTGTTGAATTTTATAATAATGTAGTACCTTAGAAACGGTCGAATATTTTGTTTCCATTTCTGAACCTTGTGTTCATTTATTGAAACATTTTTTTTAGGTAATTATTGAAATGGAATTTTAAATAATTCCAGTTATTGTTTTTTTTTCTTCAGAAATTCGTCTGACATTGATAGGGAAAGTAGGAGCAGGGAAGAGTTGTCTTGGCAACTCATTGTTGAAGAAAAACGAATTTATTTCTCGGCAGGACTCCCAATCAGTTACATCAGAAAGTTCGTTAGGACAACGTCGTTTAATGTTAAATGGTATTGAAACAGAACTGAAAATAGTTGATACACCAGGATTATTTAGCATAGGTAAAAAGAACTCCAGCACAGTTAAAGAAATCGTTAAGTGTATCGAACTCTTATCACCTGGTCCGCATGCCTTTATTTTCGTGATTAAAATCGGTCGACTTACACACGAAGATCAAAAAGTTTTAAAGTATTTTAAAGATACATTTGGTGAACTAGTTGATAGGTTTGGTGTGGTTGTGTTCACTGGATCTGATTTATTAAATGATATAAGTTTTAAGGATTGGATTCAGGGTGCCACAAACACTTTTAAATCTTTCCTGAAACGTTGTAAAAACAGATACACTATTATTAATAACTTAGATAACTTGGAAAGAAAATCTCGTGATTTGGACAATATCCTTAATCTTGTACAAAAAACCATCAAGGATAATCATGGCGAATTTTATCAAAATGAGATGTTTGAAGAGGCAAAAAATCTGTTTGAAGTGAAATTGAAAGATGAGCGTGAAAATGTAAAGCTGCAAATTCAACAACTTACCGCAGAACGTGAAAAGGAACGTGACGAATGGAAGAGAAAAGAACAAGAATTGTTGGCTCGTATTCAGAAAAATTCAGGTAAATATTGTAAAAGAAATTAAAACATTTCTAGAAATTCAGTAAAATTGAAATAAAAGGTAAAAACATGTTATCCTTACAAAATAGGAATTGATATATTTGTATTATATTTATATTAGTACCTGTGATTAATTAATATGAATTAATTTTAGGCCGTCCTTAAAGATACATTATGGGAGATTAGATAAAGAACTGGCAGCTCTCACTATAATAGTTAAAAACTAGATAATGAAAGGCAATTTGCTGAAAATTTCAGTCAATTTGATCCACTACGAACCTAGAATTAAGCGATAAAAAAACATAGTCTCGATTATCCATTTTATGATTAAATCAAGAATGAAAGTAGAGCACCAAATCAGATCATAACCCAATAAATATCGGAGGCTAGTTGTGAGTGAGAGAATGACAGTGAGCAGATGTTGCTAGTTGTGAGTGAGAGAATGACAGTGAGTACATGTTGCTAGTAGTGAATGTAGGAGTGATATGAGGATAGACTGAAGGTGGTATTGATGAATGAATAAAATGCTATCAAGAATTTAGCCATCAAGAATCGTACAGTTGTTTCTTTTGAAAAATTGTCTCCATGTTCATATTGAGACATACATTGTGCTCCAAGTCTTTTTAAGCAAACGTGTACTGGCTTATTAGCCTGTTCCAAGCTGACTTAGTTACTATGGCCCCACAGAATGGATAGAAATTCAGTTACAGGTCATTTACGGCTGAGAAATAAACCTTATTGTTATAATATTATTGGTAATCATGCAAATTATTATTATAGATACAGTTATAATATTGTACTGTTTATTTTCTCAGTCGAATACCATGAGAGCTCACCTGATGCTAAGAGGAGAAAGGTTATACCTAGAAGAGAGAAAGGGGTGATGTTACCTGAAGATAACTTTAAGATAATATCTAACTATGTGTATTTAACCGAGAATCTGGATCCTCTACACCCATTGTTAGACAGCTTATATGAAAAACAAGTACTAAATGAAGATGACTTGGAAAAAATCGACAGAGCGAAATCTGAAGGTACAAATGCAATGATACGTCAATTTCTAGATATTCTTCGCAATTGTGGTATAAATGCATATTCTAAATTCATCCATTGTTTAAATAAATCAGGATATGGAGCAGTCGCTGAACAATTAGCATCGGGTAAGTAAAATAGGACAATTTATATATTTTAGTTTGTCAGTAATATTTGTTTAAATATTTTCCCTTCAGGGATTCTCCTATTGTTCATATATTAATAAGACGAATAGAGTTCATCGCTGAAAATGGTCTCGTTCAGATATATAACATAACATTATTTTGTTATGTATAACAATTTCAGATATTGATATGGATGGTAGAAATGGTCTCGTTCAGATATGTAACATAACATTATTTTGTTATTTATAATAATTTCAGATATTGATATGGATGGTATTGTTGAAAGGGAAGAGAAACAATCAGAGGAAGACGACAAATATTTACAGTTACAGGAAAGACTTCAACAAATAAAACAGGAGGGTGAAAAGGCACTTCACATATCCGCCACAGAGAACCAAAGGATGAAATCGGCATTGAACTCAATGAGGATAGCTTTAAAAACAAAAACCAATATCTTTGTTCGATTCAAGTCAGAGATGAGAACGAAAACGAAGCTACTGGACCAACTGAAAGAGGAAAGGGATTCAAGAAATGAAGACCTACAAATGACGAAAGTGAGAAACAGTATTTTGTGCGATGAACTGGACCGAATTTATGAACAAAACGTTATTATAGACAGAATTAAAGAAGAAATTGAAGACGATGATAACGGACAAGGTAAACCAGGATAAACTGTATTTGATATTTAACAACCAGTAGTGTTTCGCGGCCGACTGAATATTATTTAGTATTATGTTCAGAGCAGAGTACGTTCTTGGCCATCCCCAATATACAATAACTTGACTCTTTTATGAATAATTTATACGGAGAGAACCGTTTACACTATCTGATATGTATACCATTCCTTTAATGGAATTCTTTATCCATTTCTTTATCCAAGTGACAAAATAATGACGTACCCGATCTTATAACAGTTAGATTTGTTTGGTGGCTTTGATTTTAAAGATTTAAATCGGAAACTAATATTACGTGTTTATATCCATTTAGTTTATATCTGTCTTTTTTTTATTTATTATCTCAATATTTCAAATGTAGGAATAAATGATTCCGATTATTCACCAGTTGATATTCAAGCAACAGATGGGAAACTGCTTGTAAAACAAGAACCTCTAGATGTAAATGAGACAGATGATAAACCACTTGACGGCATTACAACAGGTAATATAAAATATGATATATTCCTATTAAAATATACCTTGACAGTTTGAATTCGATATAACAATTGGCCGTACCGCCGCTCTCCTGGCAATATCTCCCTAATAGAACATTGTATGGCGTATGTTCGTCTTCATTAACCAAGTCGGGGCAGGACAGTAGGGCATTAAACCCATATTTATTTAATTGCTAGTGTAATGAATTGGGACACCCCCACCTTTTAAATATATTATCCTGATTCAAGATAACATGTTATGTAATTTGTGATATTTTGTGGTAGTATATTTTCGTTTACATCAATTGGGTACACCTATGTGAAAGTTGAGCAATGATATTAAACATACATTATGCAAGAGCTAATCTGCCTATTGCAGGTCTTTCCTCTGGCCAGAAATGTTTTCTAAATTATTAATCAGACATTAATTAACTTATCCAGACCATAATCAACTCTCGATGGCATCGGATTTCTCCGATATTAAATAGATTAGAACAGTTCAGCCATATTTTGATTTAAGCTAAAAAAAAAAAATGGAGAAGCGAGACTTAGCTTCGAACAACCAGTACGGTGGTTGAAATTATTGCACACGTCTTGTCAAACCTTCAAAGGCTAATATCGTCGCTCGCAATAGAGAAATTTGAATGAAATTTTCAAATTATTCATTTTACATTATTTATTTTAGAACTATTATAACAAGAATGGCTAGCTCTTTATCTAAATCTTACATAATGTATCTTTAATAATAGGCCACATTGAATTTATTTATTTATTTATTTATTTTTCTAAGAGGCATGACAAACATAAAAAAATTAGTATTCATCCAGTGACCAAACAGTCTTCTCTTGGATTAACTTTAATCAGCCCGTTAGCTAATGAATAATGAAATTGACTTTCCGGCAACAGAAATTTAAGGGAAAGTTAACCGGTCCCTTGCCTTTAAATAGTCTTAAACAATCATAGGCCTATATGTATGGTGTGTATACGTATTTCAATATATGTTGGGTTATATAGATCTATGTTTAAACATAGCCGTAAAGATTGGTATTAGGGAAACGAAGAAATTATCTGCTGTGCAATAGAGATTTTAGTTTATTTTCGAAGGAATCCGTCAGTAGGCCTACCTCCCCAACATCGTGACTCTACTTTATTTTAGCACAATTCAGTAGTAACACCAATATTATAACAAATCAAGAAAACGGTGATTTTCTAGATTGGAAGTAGGCTACATTTTTAGAAATGGCTGATCTGTTCAGCAGTAACATTTCGTGCAACAACAAAAATAGCACATGACGTCATTGTATTTAACGTTATAATTTATATACGTCATTTGGTAGACGACATTCGTCAGGTGACTTAATTCAGTAGACGACAGCCAACAAGAGACGTCTAGTCATTTAGCAAAAGCATGTGGTCAAGACAGGTCGTCTCTCAGTTTTCCTCTTTCTTGTACATAATATATACGCCCACACGGTAATGTATTGCTGTCCGTCGTCCACATTTTCTTGTAAACACTCTGCTGACTACATTTATTGTCTGATCAGTTTGAAATTTATATTAATAATATTGTTTACATTAACGGGAGGAAGAAGCCTATTTAATTACGTCTACAGTTATTTATGGTCTGTGTTTCACTTTGTTGAACTTCGTGAAGGAATATAGATTAAAGTTATCATCCGATCTGTATTAAATTTATATTAATATTTTTTAAATTAGTAAGTAAAACGAAGAAACCTATTAAATTTCGATAGTTTAAACTTTGTTAACTAATGACAAAAGCCTATTACATTTCACCAATTCTGTTAATAACTTAGATATGGCCCGTGTTTCACTTGTGAACGCTCTAACCACAAGAGTTTTCGTTTGATCTGTAGAAAATTAATATCAGTGTCTTTTAAATTCTCCCATTACCTACCTGGCAACCATCTTTGTCTTTTGAAAATTGGACAGGACTTACACACGCGCGAACTTTGTATTTAGTACATAGTAACATACCACATACATAGGTACTGCCCCGGAGTTCACAAACTGACAAAGCATTCTCAGACTTAAGTTAAGAATTTACTCAAAATTGTTCGCCTTGTTTTAACTATATAAAACTTTTGTTGTTTTAATGTATCAAATACATCAGTAAGAAGCTATGCGCAAAGTTTTGTGTTTCTGGATCAAAGATATTTCTCAGTGTTTGAAAGTTGAGTAAATTCTTAACTTAAGTCTGAGAATGCTTTGTGAACTTGGGGCCTATTTATGTCACTTGAGTTGATAGTGTCTTGTCAGTGGGGTTATCATCTGGGTTTTAACTAAACGTTAACATGGGGCAAAACTAGAAGCCAAACAATTTCTAATGATTTCTGATAAATTGTTTAATGGGTCGTTGCTATCGATCAGATTTTAGTGTGTTGTAAAAGTTTTAATTACCGACACAAAAAATATATGCCTTGTTGACTGCCCCGACGACTTAGCTGCTGTGTGCGTATGTTTCGTTGTCTCACTTGTCTGGCAACCTACGTTTCTTCCGCACTTACTAATATAGGCCTATATCTTTCTATTACAGATACTGATGATACATATGATCACTTACTAATAGACTAAGAAAGCAAAGGGATAACAATTTCAGCTATGTCATTGTATACGTTTTAGCCATTTTAATTAATAATTGAAGAAATGGCAAGCAATTTTCTAGTCTGAGCATTTAAATTGGATATATGCAAATTGATTTTACTGGTCAGCTAATCGAATTGCAGTATTTCTTAAATTTTCGATTGTATCTTAGTTTAAGTTTTTGTGAATAAGGGCCCAGGGATTTTAACCACCATCAGAACGGTATATACAACAGGTAGTTAACTAATATGAATATTATATAATTTCAGATGATGTTAAATATAGTCAAACATCTGTACAAAACAATAATATGGCCACCATCGCATCAACAACTCCATTATTAACCCAACCATTTTTTACACAGGATATAATAACACTTATAAAACAACAGGATATAATAACACTTATAAAACAACCGACAACAATATAATGGACGAGAAATCAATATATAAAACTTGTCGATATGGTATACTTGATGATGTCAACACTTTAATACATCAAAATATAAATTTAAATATTCCTGTCTATCTGGGACTACCACCAGTATTTTATTGTGTTCAATCTAACATTAACCCAATGGAGAAGTTAAAATTACTCTACTCTGCTGGTGCCATGTTAAATGTCAAGGATAATGATGGTCGTAGTTTATTACACCATGCTTGTTGGTATAGTACAACAGACTCAGACTGTATACAATATTTATTGGAACAAGGACTTGATAAAGATGGTAGGGATGACAATAATAAGACACCAGTATTTTATTGTATTCTATCTGACAAACAAATAGTAGAGAAGTTAAAGTTACTCTACTCTGCGGGTACCATGTTAGATGTTAAGAGTGATTTTGGTAGTTTATTAGAATATGCTCGTCTGTTCGGTAACACAGAATGTGAATCATATTTACGTGAAATAGGCCTTGATAAATAGAATATAAATAATCATACAATATCTTTATTTTACTAGTTAATAATTATATTAGAACTAAATTAAAATGTTTTGTTTTATTTTGATGTAAATTTAAAGATTTGTTATAAACCATTTTCTGTCAATATCAACAACATTCTGTAGACAAACAGGCTACCTGCCATAAAACTAGTAACACGTGATTTCAATGTCATAGGTCAATAGGTTACATTAAATCTATTTATAAACAAATTGAAAGTAGTATTACCAGGTTAAATAACATGAATGAATGTGATGTTTTGGTGGTCATCAAAGTCAACTTTAACCCAATATTGTTTTAAATTACAACACAATGCATTATATAAGATTTAAATCAAGAGCCGAAAATTCTCGCTATAATAGTTCTCGTTGCTTTTGACCTATATTACACCTATCTCACAAATTATAAATAGTATTAGTTAATAAACAAATGTAATATTGTTCTTAAATCATTTACATATAAATAAAAACAACAACATCCATCTGTGTACATATTGGTGTGCACGTAAAAGAAAAATTATTGAAAGTTGGAAATCGACAAAGAGGTTTGTGGAAA